TTTATGAGACTATTAGCACACCTCATTACATAGGAATTATCTAAATGCTTCTGTTGAAATCCTCATGAAATCAAAGTGTGTTGATAGAGCGCTCTTATTTCGTCAAGAAGACTTCTTGGTTGCCATGGGCTGATCCCGTATTGGCTACATTGATGATGTGAAGACAATGTAAATATACCACGAAGTTAATAAACGAACTATTACTCATCTAGGATATAATTTTCCTTTTACTTTGGTAGGCCTATCCCTTTCACTTTCAGCACAATGCAGAAATACATATTGTGTACCGTACCAAACATTGTTATGTTATTATTCACTTGTTCAGCCTCAACAGACTAGGCAATTTGAGAGCTTAGATGCATTGATGCTAAAAATCTATGTGTGAATATTCTGTCAGTATTTGGCTTGGCTTCAGAGCTCATCATGATCCGCCAAAAGGAACATTTAATATTTTGGGGGGATGAAAATAAAATGAATAAAGTGCACTAAATGAAAATCCTTCATATGATTCACAAATAGAAATTCAAAGTCAAATTATAATGCTTTTATTTCATTTAAACAGCCCCCCCCCCCAAACAAAGGAAAGAAACAAGTGTTCTGTACTATCTGCTAAACATCTCAAATTTTCATCAAAACAAACAACAACATAAGTCTCATTAGAAAACACTGAAGGTCAAACTGTGTCACTGAACAACAGACAAAAAAATGTCATTACTTACACTAACAAACAATGTACAATGTAGGCCTACTATACAGTGGAATCCTGTTATAACGAGAGGGAGGGGACCGAAGCAAAATGTCCGTTATAGCAGGACTCTCGCTATAAGGGATCCAGTAATAAATTCAAGGGAAACTGTAAAGTAGGCCTAATCTATGAGTTTGGTGTTCTGTTTTTTTCTTTTGCTATCTCCCCTGATGATGATTTTGTTTCAACATGACCTCTAGGGCTTACTTGATCAAAAATCGAATCAGGTTTGTTTCTCTAGCGCTAGATCTAGCGATGTGGACTGACAGCTCGGCGTTAGCGATCAGAAAGAAAGGGCTCTGGGCTAACTCTCCCGCTGTATCCCCCCACCCACCACCCCACTCCACCCTGTGGTGCTTTCTGTCTATTTGCGCACGTCACACATTCGCTCCATCCATCACATTGCCGTGATCTCTCCATCCCCGCATCGGAGAAGTGAGAGGCATGGCAGGCCTTGATAATCTAAACTGGCCTATCACGCTATGCGTTCTGCTTGTCTGCGCATGTCACATCCTCCCTACTCAGTTGCTCCGGCCTTCATTGTTGACGCACACGGGCTCTCCTATTCTTTGTTTCGAAAGATCAGCAACAAGTTTCTCAACTGGCGAGGTCTTGCATTTTGTAAAATTGGCCTATGCACTGTGCACAGCAGCAGCAATATTCCGCTATAACAGACTCGCAAGTGTGTCTGATAGCGCTATAGCAGTATTTTGTTTACAAAGGTAAAGAGTAGAAAAAAACGGGGTTTTAGAATAGTGCCTTTATAACAGACTTCTCGTTTTTTCCGGACTCGTTATAAGTGGACTCCACTGTAGGCCTATTAAACATGGAAAGCACACACATGGAAACCATCACAAACAGAGATGTGACTAATGGAAAACAAAAAATATGCACACTCATGGCAAACTGGCTTTCATCTCAATATGCAAACACTATCACTATCACTATTAAATACTTATAGTATACTTCGTCATATGATGTACAGTGTACTTATTGTCCACACATTGAGATCATAGATGTATTAGGAAAAGTATTACATGTAATGAGGTCACATCATAGTTTTATTTGCCGTTCTGTAACAAAGGAAAGAAAATGAGATGACAAAATCAACACCCTCTTGTGGGATTTGATTTAAGGAACTTTGGCATGAAAATGCTGCATGCAAGCCAACATCTTTAAAAAAATTTTCTCATTATTGAAAAACCCAAACAATCACAGTCGTAAAATGCAAAAAACTGTGTATAGGTAGGGCCTACACTTTTTTATTACTGCATGAACTTAGACTTTGTGCGACAAACTGCAAAGCTGAAAAATTGCTATGAACTCTGAAAACTGCAGCTACTCAAATCAAATCTGACCTAAAACTCAATGGGAGCCTGGAGGACTAGCGGCAAAAAGGAGTCTTAGCATAAGCGACTTGGACGTCCATTTAAAGATGAACGAGAACAAGATGGCATGCACTGGAATCAAAGACAACACAGTCTACACAAAAATCAGCAATTGCGCCAGATATTATCACCTTTAAAAACAAAAATTTATTTAAGCAGTATTATCAATTTTTAGACATGAGTAAATTAGCCTGTATCAGAAATAAATTTAAAAGGAAAATTATGCTATTCATCCATGCAAATTCTACATGCACACACAGGTACTCATAGACTAGCACACAAAAGAGTCAAGGATGTGTGGAAGAATCTCTATTTCGAGAAAGGGAAAGTCAAAGTTTGAATAAGTCCTCTATTATACTATATATACTAATACATGTACACACATAAACGTTGCTCAAACACCAAAAAGGCAAGTTCAAGAAACTATATAATGTGTTATACACCTAAGCACAGATTATGACTGAAGCACATCAGGAATTAACTAATCAATAATCCCAGTTAATCGATAGCAAAAAACTGAGAGAGACGAGTAGGGAAATGGCAAATTGTATGAGCTATCCGTGATTTCGTCTCTTCTGAGTTCGTGCTATCTGTGCCTGGCTGTATATCTTGACCGTAACGAAAAGAAAGATTGTCACTAAGAGAAACTAAAAAAAAGATAATTCGGCAGACATGTGTAACATTCGGCAACAAAGAGGTACCACGATACAGGGAAAGACAAAATGGTACCTTCGTTTTGACAAATAATTGAGACTTTTTATTGACAGAAACCTGCAAAAGAAATGAAGTGGACACTTAGATCTAGTATCGCAAAATTAAGCGTAATGACTAAAATCACAAACATGTATGTATAAATAACACTAACACACTGCACGGTTGAAATGAAGCAACAATGTCTTCTGATTTAACATACACAACACCTAAAAAAACTGGAAAAGCAGCACCAAGGTTATTCCCATGTTTGTTTCAACAACTTACAGACAACTGAAGCCAGAGCATGTAAAAAACAGTAACATTAGGAAGAAGAAAACTGAGAACCGGTAGGCTACCAGTAAAGATCTTGAAAAATCTCAAAGTACAGGGAGTTTTTTTGGAGGGAGTTTGTTAAGAAGAAATTTTTGGATCACAACAAGATTTTCATTGAAAAAGAAGGGAAATGTAGCAGTTTGTATAAATGTTGTATATTATGATAAAAAGTAGAGCAACAGGGACACCATTCGCCACCTCTATCTGAGACCAGTTTGGTTGTTCCTGTAAAAGCACATTTGATTTTTACTAAATTAACTTGTCTGGTGTTGATACTCTTTATCTTGGGTGCTACTGTATTTTGTACTTTTCCTACTACTTCTGTCTTTTTTTGTTTTTAGCTTTAGTCTTTAGTAAGGTTTAGCAACTGCATTGGGTCATATGAGAGCCAAGGGGTGGATGTCAACAGAGAAGTCCAAATGGGGAATCAGGCTTACTTTGCTCACCTCTCTAGCCCCAACAGCACAGAGTCTGCTTCGACTATCAAGGCAACCCGGAAATAACAGTTCACAAGAGAGAGAGTGACAAACATACAAAAGATGGATAGATTCGGATATTTTGATCATTGGAAGCAAGACAAATGAGCACGCTTAAAGATGATGCCAATAACTCCATATATCCCCTAAAATTGATGAGAGACTGGTTCCACCACATTGTGACACAATTAATGATTTCAAATTTGTCTTGCTTCATCTCTTTTTCTAACTATGCCAATCAGTATGAGAACCAGTTTAAGATCTACTTCAGAGGGAGGAAAAAGTTTTACATTAATGATACCAAGTTTGAATTTCCAAGAAATAACTGTAATCCAATTTTACAAAAAGGAGCAGGCCTACACAACACAGCACTACCAAACTACAGTATAACATGGATAGGTCGAACACAGAAGACTTGAAATCATGTCTGCGTCGAACTGTGCCTGCTGTCCCCTTTTTACTCTTTCTATCTTTGTAAGTTATCCTTCACACTTAAGATCCCTTGAACTACCTAGGCCAGTCCCGACAAATTCGAGTTATCTGTGTTATACTGTAGAAAAATAGAAAATTTAAAACAATTCATTAGCAATAGCCCTGCACATTGTTGGAATTCCATGAATTTCGGGAAGAGTGAAAAAAAGAATGTGATATAAAATTCATTTCGTGCTCACTGAGTAGCAATAAAGGTAAAGTAAATACATGTTAGTGGACAATTAGGTATTATATTTATAATGGAAAAAGTGAGGCATTTAAATTCAAACCACTCCACTGCTGCTTGAGATCAGGGAAGGCTATAATGTGTTACTAAAGACTTGCATGAAGAAAAACTTCACAACAACTGTCAGTGTACTTGGGGTTTGCACTGTTTGATGCTGGCAAAAAATGTTCAAGATATTCAACAAACATCATCGTCCAACACAAATTTTCCAAGATTTCCTTCTCTGAAAGCTGTAAAAAACATCTGTGCAGCAACATCATTATTTGGACGGAATACAAACTTGTTTGTAGCCATATCTCTTATCTTGATTATTTTCCTGTTTTGCACAGCTATCTTGGCTAGCACATCCAGGATATTGTCAGAGGGTGCACCAAGTTCGAAAAAATCAACATAATCAAAATACCTACGACTGTTCAACCAGAAGAGAATATAGTCAGCTATGTTTACCTGTCCCACTAACTGATCAGGTAAACAGGAGCAGGCTGCAAGGCGCATACCTATTTCTAGTCCAGGCACTTTCGGTGGCATAATACCCGGAGTGTCAATGACAAAAACTGGAGGGGTGGAATTAACCTTTATTTTGGTCAGGACACTTTTTGTAACACCAGCTTTGGCACCTACAGTGGTTGCCTTTCCACTTTTCTTCATTTGGATTGCTCTCAGGGAGTTTATGAACGTGGATTTTCCAACATTTGGCACTCCAACAACAAGAATATTGTATTCATCAATTCCTTCTCTGTTGTAACGGGGATGAGAGTCAATTAGTTGCATAGCTGTGGGTAAGACCTCTGATTTAAGCAGGTCAACATGCTCTCGCTTTCGAAGGTTTGTGAAAAAAACACTGTCCACCTCTTGATCTTTTAGTTTTTTCAATATATCTTTTTTTCTGTCAGCACATAAATCTGTGAGCTCGACCTTGTTGAGCAACAGAATATGAGGACGCAAATTTATGATGTCCCTAAGCCTTAGGTTTCTGCCAGAGAAAGGAATTCTAGCATCATGGATTTCTATGATGCAATCAATACTCTTAAGCTTTGCTTGAATTTGCAACAACCCTTTTTGCATATGACCAGGAAACCATTGGACAACTTTGGATCCTGGTAGAATAAACTTCTTCCTGAAGCTCCCAATCAGATGTTGAAACTTTGAACTTGAAGCCATTGTAATCAAAATGATGATGATCTCTGCATCAATGTTTTCTCCTAGATTTAAGCTTCAAAAACTAGGAAAAACGCTGTAGATCTAGATCTAGATCTAGATTTCAATCTAGATTCTATATATATATATATACAGTTCACGAAGCTAAATCTTAGATCTAGAATCTAGAACTACTAGATCTATTTAATGTTGAGCCGCGGCGACTAGGCTACTTGAAACAACTTCGTTAGTCGTTAGATAGATCTAGATCTAGTATATTATAGACTGTTATATAGATCTAGATCTAGATTTAAATCTAGATCTAGATCTAGATCTAGATTTAGATTCTAGATCTAGATTCTAGACCCTAAAACACTGGACACTACACTGTAAATCCTTGTGAACAGAAAAAATGCTGCCTCCATCCAGCAGAAAAAGTCAGAACGTGTGAGAATGGCTACCGTGAGAATAATGACGGGCGGTAGAAATTACCGGGCGTGCGAACCGTCACTTCTTCATGTTATTGTTATCTGCGATGTTGTTGTGTCGGCAGTCGGCACAGGGAGTAACGGTAAATACCCTTGATGTTTGGAAGGTAAACAGGGCAACAGGGCGCAGCCATGTTGAAGTGAAAGGGGAATAAATTTGATTCCAGTCACACGAGAGCTCCTTACCGGGGGATGTCGTTGAATAAGGCTGTTGTAAATATAAACTATTTTCTATTCTTTACCAATGTCAAGCTCTTGAAAAATATTATGAAATAGGTAAAATTTATATTGATTCTTAAATTTACAACATTTCTCTGGAAATGACAGGTTTTTTTTTCAAAATCTTAAAAATAACTTTGAATTATACAATAGCTACACCCGCCACCCGCTAAAATGTGGATGCCTTTAATAAACCCACGAAACGAAAGTTCAGAACCGGCTTGGTCCGTTCATGGTCTTGTATACTGTGCTCACAACTAGAGGTCTATGCTATGAATAATAAAACAACTGTGCATGACCAGAATTGCAGCTTAGGTGAACAATGAAAATTATACAAGACATTAATTTGTATTTTCGTCTAGATTTATTGCATACTTTATGTTACTTGATGTACATGACATCTTAAAGCCGCCCCCCCTCCCCCAACCCCTGCCGCTCAAAACGATCGCAAGAGCTAAGCTATGAGTAATATTTTACTCTTGCATTTTTATTTCATAGAGCACTGAATTTTGCATTCCAGCATTCCTTGTGAAATGTAAAACTTTTCTCAGCTTTCTGCCCCACTTGCTCCTCCCTTTCAGTCATTATTCTGAGTAAGATTTGCCATCCCTCCAAATAGAGCTGTGGCTTTTATACTTATAATTAGCCCAGGCTGTGCATCTGTGGGAGTTGGCCAATTTATCTGATCGGTGCGAGTGTGTATGTATTATAGTTGTAGGTAGGTTTGTATAGCTTGCTTGAATTAGTGATATAGATCTACTTGGTGTAAGTTGGAACTGGTGGTGAATGGGTAGTTTTCTGACTTGTTTCTTTTTCTTGTATGTGTTTATGTGATTCTGAATCTGTTTTTGTCAAAAAAATGCAATGAATATTTTGCTGGCTTACACTTATATTATGCGAATTATATTTTTTCATTTTGCTTTAACTCACATTGAGTTAGCCTAACTTTTGGAATTGGTTGATAGGTTAGGTTATTTCTGCCTTTTATTTATTTTTTTTAAATTTAAAGGACGGCTTGATGGTTGGGGGTTGGGTTTGTTGTCATTTGGAGAATCAGAGTATTCCGTTCCCTAATCATTTTAAGTGCTCTTTCCGTAATTCCTCCTACTTTAAATTTTGTTCTCCCGCCTCTTGTTGTCACCTGCTCTTTTTTCTTCTCATTCTCCCCTGCCATTCCTCCTTCGCCTATACTTCCTCCTCCCAACTACACTCCTCATTCTCCTCCTTTTCCTCCTTCTTCTGCTCAGATATCAACACACTGGGCTATAGTGTGAATATGAACTCGGTTCAAATTTTTAGTGGGATGTTCTTGAAATGTTGTCACTTGGGGAGTTTTCGATGCTGTCCAACCACGTGCTGAGTCTTATCTGAGAGATAGATTTAGGTCCTGCCTTATAGTCCAATGTCCAATCCTCTTCTTCCCACATTTGCTTCTCCAACTCTTGTTTCTCTCACTCTTCTATCCTTGTAGTTCTCACAACATTTTTCATTCCACTCCTCTTCTCTTCCTCCCCTCACTGCCACTTTTTATGTCTCCCATTGCCGATATCTTCCTCTGGTTCCCTCTTCTCTGTCTATGTTTACTCTTCTTCCTACACTTACTATTCCTTCTACTTCGCTTTGTCTTTTTATGATATATATGCTGTTTAAAGAATGAAACGTCTACTGCTTCCTTCTAAAGATTTTTTTTCTTCTGCTGATGCCATAAGATCTTTTAAGTGGGTGGTTGGCGGGTGCTCTAGTGTCGTTTGCTCCTTCTTTCCTATCAAACATCTGTCGTCCTTAATCTCGCCTCCTTTTTTGTGTATGATACACTTTTCTAACATGTAATCTGTTCTTCGGAACTTGTATATGACCTTATTGTCTTGCAAGTGCAGTAACACTCGTACTAAAACTATACTGAAGACCTTTTTAATTATGTTTTAAAGTTTCTTTGCAATTAAATATGTTTATATTTATTAATTTTAATTCTTTTTTTAATAAAAAAAAAGAAGAAAATTGTGTGTGTGTGTTGGGTTTTGTTTTAAAATGGTCATTTAATTTCTGAGTATTACTTCCTTTCTTATCTGTCAACAGGTTGCTGGCTGGAGCTCCTCGGGCTAATGACTCATCTTTGCCGGATGTCCACGAGCCAGGAGCTGTGTTTCAGTGCAACTGGCAGTATCGAAGCAGTTGCCAGCCAGTATTTATTGATGACTTTGGTATGCAATTTTCTTATTGAAGTTTGCATTTCCCAGTGGATTAAAATCTGCTCTGATCTGATACTGACAGTACACCGGTTGTAATTTTATGCCTCGTTATCATTTTATGCTTATATTTGCACAAATTCTATGATGGTCTTATTTTATTTCTTATTCTACAGTGAGATTACTGCCTACATTTCTCTTCAAAATTCTCAATGCATTTCCTCCCATCCATTTCCTTCTCATAGTTTCATATTGTGTATTTGTGCTCAATTCCCAATTAAATTTTTCCCCATACTCCCATTTTCCTAGAAGAAAAAAAGACATTTGACGAAAATCAAAAAAGTCTCTTGCTGACAATTTTTGAACACCATTTTTTCACTTGAAATAGTGGATTTAATGCCTTTGAGAAGTTAATTGTACTGTGGAAAGGCTTTAACCTGTAACGTAACGGCTGACTGCAATGTTCCTCAAACTCAAAGTGACTAGTGCCGTCTTTTAAGGAAATATAGGCAGTGCCCATCGGATGATTGGCTGTACACAAACCAATCGCCCGACTCACGGCCTTTAAAACACACAGGTTTGTTTTTGAAGGTCGTCATGTGTTTCATTCCGATTGTACCACGATGGTAGCTTTTGTCCTTTCATGGAGGAAAATCTGGCTAGCCTCGACAACTGAACTGAACCGAACGGATTCTGCCAATGCGCACTGCACAGCTTATAATAGTTGTTAATTCCCCAGTCATTCTAGGCTAGTATATTTTATACCATATCTCATTGTGGCTAATATTATGATCATGTGTCTGTGCTTGCAGGAAATGAGAAACAAACATTTTACAAATGGAAAAATGTTACAGTTCATCACAAGAAAAGTAACCAGTGGTTGGGAGCCTCCATAGATGTCAATGCACACAGTGACCTCCAAGTGATGGTTAGTAGCAACCCCTCCCCCCCCCTCCACACTCACACACAAAGACAAACATATACACAGAGACACACACACGCACACACACACACACACACACACACACACACACACACACACACACACACACTTGTGTGCCCATACTTTCTTCCCTCTCCTTTCAATGTCTTTATTGTTTTCTTGTGTGTGCCACTGTCTTTCACTCCATTCCACTCACTGTTTCTCAAACCTTTTCTAACCTGACTGTCTAATAACATGTAACAACAGTGTAACTCATTAGAGTATTTAATATCTTTATAGTTATTCGAGAAGAATCACTTCTTACATAAGATGTGCATTTTGTAAAAATGACAGATAAAAAGTGTGTGTTCGTAATTGCTTGATGAAATTACTTATTATAAATACCTTCTTAGGAAAAGTGAAAATGGCTCAATTTTTCCATTTAATTGCAGCATTTACTTTTCATGTTTTACAAAAGACTGACCTTTCACTGTTGTTTTTTAAAAATCTTTTCTCAGATATGCGCTCCCCGTTGGATTGATCACAAGTTTTATGTGCAAGGCCTTGAATTTATGAATGGCCTTTGCTATGAGTCAAAAAGTGATTTACGATTTCACGAGTCGAGTGCATGGCCTGCTTTGGAGTACCTGAGAAAACAAGTCCATCGTTCAGGTTTCTTTGCTTATGGCATGGGCAGTATGGGAACATCAGCAGCTTATTCCCAGGTGAAAATGTTTTGATAATGTAATATATCATTTGTACCTTTCATTTTAGCACCTGTTAAAGAATCTTTACTTAAGCCTCTCCCATAGTTGTCATCATCATAATCTCATCATTACAAATGTGCACTGCTTTTGTGTTTTTTCTAACTTTTCCAGCAACAGATAGATACTTCCATTTTATGCTCATGTTTGTATTTCCATCGACTGGTTTCCAGCACGCAGTAAATCTGGCACAAAAAGAAATACACTGCTTTTAGCAGGGTGAAGGGCTTTTAAAAAATGTGCAACTGTAATGGGTACAATATAAATATTCTGGGATGTAACTGTCTGGATACTTGATAATTAGATGACTTGGTGCATTTTATCTTGAATTCCGTCACTCATAAGATTACCTACATGTGTAGAGGACCATTTTGTA